GATAAAGTATATTCTAATATGGAATGAGTAAATTCAGTTTCACTGATTATTTTGATAGATTTCGATGATGGCGATGATTGAAAAGCCATTGCTGAAGCAAATGGTGTTAAATATAGAACCGCATATGGTTGAGAAAGAAATCTCTGGAAAGAAAAAATCGCGGCGCGCTTTTTTGCAGAAGTTTGTTGATGAAGCAATTGGATCGTTAGTCACTTCGTAGTATAAGAAACCGATTTTAAAATGAAAAAGATATCGTTGTCTCTCAACAGACCATTCCTGGATGGTCGGTTGATGAATGACTAGCAAACCAACACTATCCACCCAGGGATTTAATGCCGGAAATGAGAAAAAAAATTGTATTCGATGAGAAGTACTGAACGTGCCATTCGCGTGGACGGCGCGGCGGGCCGTAGTGAAGGTTTCAAGCAGCAAGGGACCTAATTTACATATAATTGGTTGCATACCATCGACTTGATTAAATTATTGGAAGAGCTTTCAGAAGGGAATTTTTCAAAGATTGGATTCGACGATACCTTCGGTCTTGTTAAAATAACGGTCATAACAAACAAGATAGTTGTTGGTTTATATTTCTTTTTTCTAACGTTTTCCAAAGTAGATTTGAGAATAGGTAGGCTTTTTGTAGATCTACAGCAGATGTAACTCTTGTTCATATGCAATATTCTTTCTAATCACTTTTGCTCTACAAAACAATTGGTCCACGTCTGCCCTAAACCCGGCTTGTTCTTCTACTTTAGTATCTTGGTACTCGTTATATACCTATACCTATATCGTCTGCTCCTTATTATCTTTTCATAGATAGGTACTACACTCAACGTACTTTTCATAGAAAAACATCTATAATTGTAGCAGCTGCCTTCTCTTCCTTTATGTGATGTGTAAGATGTCTTCCATTATTCTGGTACTTTGGTTCTGTTTAGGTAGGTATTCCTGGAACAGATTTCCTTGTTGACAAAATGGTTCTTTCATTTAATCAATTTTGCCCGAATATCGTATAAGTACTTACAGGGCCGGCTTAAGGGGGGGGGGGGCGAGATGGGCGGCCGCCCAGGGCGGCACGATCCAGGGGCGGCAAATTCATACCATACAGCAACAAAAATTAATAGAAAATGAAACCAACGACCTAAAAAAAATTAAGAAATATAAATCGAACAGCGAACCAATTATACAGGGTGTTTGGTACATCGATAGAAAGATTTCAAGAAGATTTCAATGAGTGATAGTTAGGGTCATTTGGAAGCTGTTTGACCATATTTACCCTCATGCAAAGTTTCGCCGTTTTTTGAGATATCGCCATTTTAGATATTTTGAATCCATGTATTTTAATACAGTGCCTCTATACAAGACAGTGGCGACAATAACGCCTAAGCTCCGTCCACCCGCCATGTTTTGTCAATAGTGTATTTGTTTTTTCTTTTCTTTCTGTTCCAACTTTTTATCACACATAGTCAATAACAGGCACAAATAACAAAAACTAAATTATATTAACACAAAATTGCTTAAATCTCCATAGGATCAAATGGTTTTACACAAATAACTTTAGCGCCTAAGCTCCGCCTACCCGCCATGTTTTGTCGAACTCATTCAATAATGTATTTGTTCTTTCTGTTCTATTTTTTTCTCACAAAATAGTCAATAACAGGCACAAATAACAAAAACAAAATTATATTAACACAAAATTGCATAAATCTCCATAGAATCAAAAGGTAAACACAAATAACTTTCGACAAAACATAGCCGATATTCTGCAGCCAATCAAAAATGAGTCCCTCTATTGTCGCCACTGTCTTGTATAGAGGCACTGTATATTTTAACACATAACTTGGGCTACATATTTTTTGTATCAATCATTCGGATTTTCTTTCCGAGTTTTTCGAAAGAGTGCATATCAGGAATATCGGGAAAAAAATTGAGAAAGGTTAAAATGGTTATTCCAAAAAAAAAAACAATATGTTTTAGGAACAATTCAAATATTTCCCAAAAATATCTAAAAATGCTGATATCTCAAAAACGACAAAATTTTGCATAAGGGTAAATATGATCAAACAGCTCCCAAATGACCCCAACTAGTGATAGGAAGTTTTTAATGAGTAATCATTAAAAACTTCCTATCGATGTACCAAACACTCTGTATTATAGGATAGGTGTCATTTTGGACAATTGAACCAGCACAGTGGACATTTCAACTTCTTATTCTTATATGATATCCATTTACTACAAAAAACTTCATCGGAATATTGCAAATAATTATAATATGTATGTTTTCATGCATGACAATTCTTTCGATGTCAATGTGGCATAATTAGCTGATGAACTATCTGTGATAGACGTTACTGGATATTGCACCGAATGTTGTTGTGGCCCTCAGATCCTCAGAATTTTATTACCATTGTCCATAACTCCTGCAAGTGTTAAGAAAAGTTTCTCTAAATTAAAATTAATAAAAACGTATTCAAGATCATCTCGGCCAAGAAAAAGTAAGCAGTGAGCATGTTAGAAATGAATCATCTACTTGAAGATTTTGCTGCATTCAAAGCTCGAAAATATCTTAAATAATATCCCAATAATTTTATTGAAAATGTACCATCGTCACCAAAAGTATCTGGGACACAAATAATGCATGTTAATCTCCTGGACTAATTCTACTGTCATTCATTTCAATGCATTTAATGCATAGTTTGGAAAAATATTTGGCAATAAAATTTATATAATAGGACAAGAGCTAATGTGATCACATCTGTCCCAGTTACTTTTGGTGACGATGGTACCTACTTACCCTAATGGTACAAAACGATGGACATTTTTTTAAAGTCCGTTTAACGTCAAAACATCCGAGGACTGAAATACAACGTTGTATAAACGTTTGCACAAAATCATTTTTAAAAACGACGAAAAAAGACGTTCGAGATATATTCACAAACATAAGCATAAAGTTCTGAAAGAAAAGTTTTGGAAACTACTGTTTCTGCACGTGGTAATGTCCATGTCCGAGTGTTTAAAAAGGTAAAGAAAGGACGTTCTTTAGACGTTTGATTAAGTTGTTTTCAAAACCTCTGTTAGGAACAATTAAAGAACGTCAACGTCAGAATGTTTTCTATGAGTTTGTAAAAGTATATTTTCATGAAAAGTCATGAGAGACGTTTTATAAAGGTTTCTGTTGGTCGTTTTCGGGAACACCGTTGGAAACATGTAGGTATCCTACGTTCACACGTCCGGAAATTAGTTCGAAAAAGACGTTTTTAAAAGGTTGTTTGTAACTGTGATATTTGCACTACCTATAAAATAAGTCTATTGGATGGTGTTGGATACTTTGAAGGAAGTCTAGTGAATGTTCATAGAGATTTTTGAAAAACGTCCTTTTTCGTTTTTAAGCGTTCGTATTAAAACATTTTTGAAACGCTCATTTTCGACGTCTATATGACGTTTGAAATGACATTTGCACCAAATAAAAATGCACCTATGGAGATTCTCAGTTACTTTTACTGACGTTATAAAAACGTTCTGACGTCCGATAGGATAATTTTTTGAAACGTTTCTGTGCTATTAGGGTATCTACATAATGTATCTGTTGATTGTTGCCAAGAGCTTGGATTGGCTGACTCTTACTTTGTTTGTTTTGTTTCTTGTTTTCTTATGTTAGTTTTTTTTTTTTTTGTGGTTACTTAAGTTACATTATATAGTATGTGGTTTTATTGCTATGATGCTATGCCTTACTGTTTCGTGTAATTATTTTTTGTTTCTACAATTCAAGATCTCTCACATTTTCCCTAAGCGGGCCATGGGATGGGGCGGCAAATATACTCATTGCCCAGGGCGGCAAAATACCTAGAGCCGGCCCTGAGTACTTATATTTATCATTATTTAAAAATGTTTATTAGTTGAATGGTACATCATAATTGTCCTAATTATTAAAATGGGTGATTAATCGAAAGTTTCCTAAATTATTTTCAAATTTTTGCTTGCATATGAGGGGTCGATCAGACTGAGGTCAGTTTCTATGAGCGAGCGGACATTTCTTGTTTTTTTATTTTTGTGTGCTTTTCGTCTTTTGTGCATGAGGTGTACCTTCTGACGCGGCAATTCATTCAGTGAAGTGAGTGGTAAGGATAACTAGGTTTGGAACACCTTTTCAAGCCTCCTGCCTATGCGGAGCGAGCAGAGTACGACGACCGGAGATCTCTGCCGTTGAGGCTCTACATAGGATCAGACGCTTCCTCACTACAGGGGCTCTCACGACTATTTTCATGTCCGGTGACACCCCGTAAGGTAAGGACCACCAACCTTCAAGTAGCTTTCACGATAGGTAGGTGATACCCTGGTCACAGCCTGATATAACTAGCCCCTGCAAGTATTACTTTTTTCTATTTTGGGGCTAGGAGGTAGAGAAACAAGAATGAAGAGTCCTTTAGTTGTCGGGAAATGATGGAGACCAAATGAGCTCAGCGGACTGCTAACCTCACTGGTTGTACCGTCAACGCAACGCAACCCAAGTACAGTTAAAGTTCATTTTATCATTTTATCTTCGAGTGATGATTTTTTCACTGACAAAATATGTATATTAGGATTATGCTTACTCGGTAAGACTTCAGTGGATTTCAGGAAAGTTTGAGTCCTATTGATCGGAAATATAAATAAACTTGAATAAAACGTTGGCCTTTGTAAAAGCATGGTAGATAGCTGCTCATCATGTCGCCAAAAAGAGTCTTCTCTCATCTTTAACAATTTTATTTTGCTTCGCTTGGTTCCAGATACTTGCAATCGTAATTAGTAGAAAAAAATAAATTGCATGTAACAAATACTTTGTACCTGTTCTAGAACCCTCTTGCTCTGGAACCCTGTGATAGAGCTCAGCTGGCTGATATTTTTTATTAATACTTTTTAGACATAGACAAAAAAAAAAGACAAAGCATAAGTAAATCCGAGAAATTGATATCTGAAGAGGATACTTCACCCTAGAGAGAAAAATAGCATCTCGAAGGTATAAAATGCTGAGTCAAATAGTTTAGGGAGTCAGTATAACTTTTCGTGCTTCCACTGCAAAATGAAGTATTCAATAGTTTTCGTGGTTTTGGTTGGGACATTTGCTGGCTTTGCCAAGACATCACCTGCACGTAAGTTCATCGTTAGTGCCGTTAGTGAAAAACTTACTTATCTTCACGCAGCTTATTGCCTTTAGTGGATCAGAATATTCAAGAAACTGATTGGGCCAGTCACTCAGATTGCTTCAAACACTTCTTGTTTTTTTTTTTTGTTTTTTTTTTTTTGCGCGAGAAAAACTCTCAAATACTCTTGAATAATAGTTCTACGCATATTACCTTTTTTAAAAGGTTCAAGTGTTTAATAAAACTTAAGTAGCCCGCCCACTTAAGTCAGTACTTTAAAAAATCTTATGTAGATTCTCTTTATCAAATGTATAAATATTATTTTTCAATAAGTTCGATTGATCACTCGAGAATAACCATCAAAAATTGATTACTAGATTACGTCTAACGACCCTTAAGTCATTCAATAATTTTATCACCGCCATTTAAAAAAAGTACCTAAATAAAGTTCTAGCTGTGAAGTTTTGTAGGAAGATTTTACTCGAAGATAGTTCGAAAGGAAATAATTCGTATTTGAAAGTCGAAGCATAAATAACTTTACTCTGAAAAGCATTGATTTGCATTAATATAAAAACGAAATATAGTGGAGCGAAATAGCCTATGAAATGTAAAAAAAAATTTTTTTGGCGTACAACCACATAAAATGCCTATATTATTAATAACTGTCTTAGGGGGCATCCGAAATGGCGATTTACGATATTTTCTAGTGGTCGAGAGATTTATTATTTCGAAAAATAGCACCAATTTGGATAAAATCGAAAAATGTAAATTTTAAGTTCACACTCTAATATCTCTAAAACTAACAAAGCTAGGAAATCGACTTTTTTTACCAAAATAAAGTCCATTTATTGGGCTTTCTAGCAGACCTATACATTGCTGTACCGAAATATGTTCTATATTTTTTAAATGACGTTTTAACTGTTGCGTCACAAAATATGACTCTAAAATTTCACTAAGCGACAAACTTTTTTATTTTCAACTTTTTCCACATACATGCTGCGAAGCAAAGAAAGAAGAAACATTCAAAAAGTTTTTAAAGTAAAAATCTTTTATCTCCGATGTATAGTTTTTTTGCTATGAATTTTACAAAATCGCGCAATCTTGAAAATTCAGGCGCAGCGTGCACGGGATCGGCCGACGTCAGCGGCTTGTCGTTTTTACGCCATTTAGTAGGTACGATTTAGTAGCTGAAAATATAAGGTCTGTTTCTGCAGAAATCACAAACCAGTCAGAGCGAATTTCATTGGTCGAAAACAGTCAGAAAACCAGTTTCAACCAATGAAATTCACTCTGACTGATTTGTGATTTCTGCAGAAACAGACCTTATATTTTCAGCTACAAAATCGTACCTACTAAATGGCGTAAAAACGACAAGCCGCTGACGTCGGCCGATTCCGTGCACGCTTCGCCTGAATTTTCAAGATTTCGCGATTTTGTAAAATTCATAGCAAAAAAACTATACATCGGAGATAAAAGATTTTCACTTCAAAAACTTTTTGAATGTTTCTCCTTTCTTTGCTTCGCAGCATGTATGTGGTAAAAGTTGAAAGTAAAAAAGTTTGTCGCTTAGCGAAATTTTAGAGTCATATTTTGTGACGAATTAGTTAAAACGTCATTTAAAAAATATAGAACATATTTCGGTACAGCAATGTATAGGTCTGCTAGAAAGCCCAATAAATGGACTTTATTTTGGTAAAAAAGTCGATTTCCTAGCTTTGTTAGTTTTAGAGATATTAGAGTGTGAACTTAAAATTTACATTTTTCGATTTTATCCAAATTGGTGCTATTTTTCGAAATAAAAAATCTCTCGACCACTAAAAAATATCGTAAATCACCATTTCGAATAGCCACTAAGATACTTAACAATAATATAAACATTTCACCTGGTTGTACGCTGATTTTTTTTATCTCGGTAAATAAGCGACTTTTTGCCTCTGTTTCGCTCCACTAATATAGAATATGCTGAAGTAGTAGATGAAACGGCTCAGGAAAATCTTTATAATTGATTTTGTTTTTGTAGCTCCTTGTCCCGTTGACATCGCAGTCGAAGCCTACTTCTCAGACAGCGACTGTTCCAAATTTTGGCAATGCGCAGCCGGAATACCGTACCAATTGTCCTGTGCTACCGGTTTGAACTTCAACCCTACTTTAAACGTATGCGACTGGCCAGATTCAGCTGGATGTACTGGAAGAGGTTGGTCTAACACCACAACTACCACAACTGAGGCTACTACCACTAGTACTAGTATTACTACTGCTAGACCCTCTACTACTCCTACAACTACTACCACCACCAGTACAACACCCGCTACTCGTACAACGACTACCACTCGTACAACCTCTACAACTACTACCACGACCACGCCAAGGCCTACTATGACTACGACCACCCGTAAACCATGTATACGTAAGTTAGCTATTTATTAACTTCTTATCGTTTTCTAATAATTTTTAATTTTTGTAGCAAACCCTTGGTGGCCATGGTGGTGCATGAATCCATATTAAAAACCAACTCTTTTCCAGCCCTCTCGCTTAATTTATTTAATTTATTGCAATAAAAACAAACCACGTTCTTAACTTTTTTTTTATTTTGTTGTCAAGCAAGAAAAAGTACCCACACCTTTACGCATTCTACTCTATATAATAGAGATTGAAAACTGCAGGTCATAGGAATAGAGACGTCTACAATATACTTCCGGAACTGTTGATTAGATAAAGTACCTACAGTTTATGGAAAATAATTCATAGTTACCCAGTTGATGCCGATACAAACGAAATATCTACAATGTTGTTATTTTCCTATATTTTTATCAACTTAATTATAATATTAAGGATGATGTCAATTATTATTTTAAACAATAGAAAAACTAAAACACGCATACACGATTTTAAAACAATATGTAATAACTAACAATCCTCCTTATTGCTGAAAAACGGTTACAAACAGGACGTACCAAACTTGGTAATACATAATACAAACGATAGGTTATAAACGAAGCTTTTTATTTATTTACTTTTGAAGCCATCTACTTAATTATTGCACTAAGTTTTGCACACATCTATATGGACCTGTGTAAATAAAAAAAAACACTTGTTCGAAAGTTGTTTCTCAATTTGAATAACAAAACTTAAATAATGTTAGTTTGGTTGTACCCGACTATTATTCGCTTGATATTGACAGGGCAAATCCACATGGATACGTGATCACGTGTTTTCGTGCATAAATCAAGTACATGTAAAAATGGTTCATTCACAATAGCAATTCGTGATAAGGATAAGGGACGAGTTGTCATACTGTGGAGTGTTGTAAAAAGAAAGTTACCTAAGGTCCAAATAGATATAAGGACGCAACTACCTATCTGCTTTAATACTGGAATAATGTACTATATAATATAGGTACTTCACCTACGACCAGACGAATTTTTTTGTTTCCATTTTCTAATGGCCACTGCAAGTTGCAGAAGTAAAAGTAGGCTGTGGCAATTTCATTGCAACACATACAGATCCAACTAGTATCCTATTTATACAAGCTGATTGGTCTATGCCCTGCCCTCTACGTTACCATTCAAACACACACATTGACATCTGGAAGCAGTTGTTCCCCTAAATTTGTCAACGTACTCTATGTCATATTATCAATAAAATTGTATATTATCCAAGTTTTCGACCTCCGACAAATTTTTGTGCCCAGAAAGTTCGGAGTTCTGGCACTTTTTCCAGTTATTCAGCTATAGCTCCTTTATGTCCTGAAACATTGGCGTATCCAGGATTTTGGTTTGAGGGGGGATCTGTTAACAAAAAGTGTTGACCACAAAAAAAAAAACGCTGCGCACTAGTAAAGGACAAAAGTAGGTCATAGGTTGTGACTAGTTTTATGTCAGCCATGTTTGGGAATGGTTTACTAATGAGAAATTCGGCATCCTCGCATGTTTGGGAGAGTGACGTCCCTCCTCCTATCCCGCGTTTTCACACCAGTTTAAAAATCCGATTTTCAAATCATTTTATTTTCAAAAATAAGCGTTTTTTTGGAGAAAAAAAATCATACTGATGTTATCAGAATGACTAACAGATTAATTTAAAAATTTGGAAGTTGCCTATTTTTGTCAGAATTCACCTTTACCTAGCTAGGTAACATACCCAAATGTTACGCACCTATTCTTTTTTGCGGGGCGACAAGAATGTTCGCATCGGGCCACTTATTCGCTTTATTTTGGTAAGAGGAGACATTTTGTTGACGGAGCCCCTTCTCTCCTGAGGAAGGAAGTTTTTCGGACATTTAAGATGAAGCACTGATTCCCTTACTGCATTAGGCGCTCGCCATAGAAAAACCTTATTATAGAAAGAGATAAATTTTATTTCTATTTTTTTTTACAAAAAATGTACATGTCACATAAAATAAGCTGAAAAAAAAAGTCCAGACTTGCCTTGGGAGGGGGGGGGGGGTTCAGCCCGGCAGCCCCCCCCTGGATACGCCTATGTCCTGAAAGAGGATAACATTTTATACAACTCCCACTTAATTACAACGTATAGGTGGATTGCCCTCTATTATTAGAATTTGCAAGTATGGGAATTGCTAGAATTCTTGGATAGGACTTTCTGAATGTATCTATCAGACGCAGAGAGAAGGTTATTTTACTTGCGTCCTGCACTGCTCTGAAACAGAATGGAGAACATTTGAAATACTGCTTCTCTTTTAAACTAGCTCCATGTCTTTGTCTACGAAAGAAGGTCTCCGGTCTCCGCAAGGGAATTAAATCATTTCTGAGCAGAGCATTCACACCTCTTCAAGATGTGAAACCCAACATGAAAAGCTTTGTTGTGGATGGAGGATATATCTTCTGCATAAGATTGGGTTAGTTTGGGTTACACCTCTTCAAGATGTGAAACCCAACATGAAAAGCTTTGTTGTGGATGGAGGATATATCTGTTGCATAAGATTGGGTGGGAAGGTAAGTTTAGTTCCATTTGTCAAAAATATGTAGCCTAGGTACCTGAGGAAGCGCTATGGATCCAATATCACAGTTACATTTTGATGGTTAAGTACCTTAAGGCCCAGTACTTTCACCTCAGTATAAATATAATTTATTCGGCGAATAACTATCTATCGGATAAGTAAACCAGAGGTTGCTATCTGTAGTATATCTCCGAGGGGTATTTTCAGGTAGAATTATCCTCGGGCTAACAATCCGTTGCTGCTACCTTCAGTATTTCGGCAATGCTAGTGTTACCAACCAAAGAAAACGAAATGTGAGAAACACTTATGAGAAGTTGAATGCTTCAGATAAAGATAGAATATCTCTCTTGTCTAGTTGCTTGTTTTTGTCGTGCCGCCGCATTCCACTTGTCATTTCACTGATTTGAGTTTGATATTCATTTGTTTATGTTTTTTTTGGAGAGAGAAGGTGCGTTTATGTTGAATAATTTTTGTATCGTGTAGTAGGAGTGGCTGATTAATCTTCCATTAGTCGCCCGTGTATCTGAGAGATACATGCCTATTATTTTTGCAAATAAATCAAAAAGGAAAAACCCTATAATATTATGGCTTCGAGTAGTCTCTAGGCACCCTATACTAATTACTTTCCCAAAATTACATGGTCGTACCTCTACCTGAAAATTTGGAATTTCCAAAAAACTTCAGGTGCGCTCGGCTTTGTACCTGACTGATACAACAAATAAAACTTTTTCCCTTTGCTATTCCATCCCCAGCCATGTTTTGAAGGGTATCATCAGCAAGCGGCTTTCAAGAGCAAATATTGAAATTTGAAATACTAAAGTACAAAAATGAAATTGTAAATAACAAAATAAAAAACACCTATTTAACGAATTTTTCAAACAAACACAAATCAAAATTAGGTCAGAATTCTGTGTTGTCACCCAAATCAGAGTAAAGACACTGAGCGAGGAGCTATTCGGCAGATAAAACCGGTTATTCTTAGGTCTGATCACAGGATACGTTAACTAAAGGTTAGCCCGCATTTATCTGATAGATATCACTATACGGAAGTGATAATACACTCGTTTTTCTTATCTCTAGGATATTCTCTAATCTGGAGAATAAATATCGCTATCTGCAAGTGAAAGTACCGCGCCTAAGTCTGTCCAACACTATTGCAATGTTTGCAATGTTAAGTCATATCATGCCATCCTTCTTTATGCCATAGCCATGAACGTAATATGTCCTATTGGTAAAATGTGATGTGACATTTTTTACATCGATCAACTATGAACAGTCTAGCTAAGATATAGGGATTATTTTTTATTACTGATCACTTAGGTAACATTGCGATAGCGCGTTGGACAGACTATACCGTGATGCTGCGCAGAGAGGAACAAAGTCATCTGAAAGGTTTTGTCGTTCAAAAACATCAGGTTAAACATAAACAATATAAAACCACTTAAATTTTGATTTTTTTTTACTATGAAATGTGTGCACAATATTTTTGGTACATCCCATCTTTCCAACTAGTATACATACCGTAGATATACAGGTATACGGTCCTTGCGTATTACCACAGAATATATAGGTACCCACTAGACATGTAAACGGTCATTGCGAAGCCCGTAGAAGAAATTGAGCGGTTGTTGTGAGGCCCGTAATAACGTTGTGTGTCCCGACTCCGGGCTACACAACGTATCACAGTGTATATCGGGTTTAACGGGCTACACAAGACCCGTTCAGGCGTTTCCAAAGTTTTTGCATGGGCTTCACAAGAACACGCTAACCCATCCAACATACAGCACTTAGTTCAAAACTTCTGCTAAAGAGGGCGCTGCACCTTTACACAGATGAGTAATAAACTCCGTAGTGGAGCCCGCATATTTCAAGCGCGCTGTTTAGCCCGAAGCTTGGCAACACCGGGGGGCTTCACAAAGTGGAATTTAAATAATTTATCAATAGCTAGAACATACACACGCTGTGCGGTATCCTCGACATACGCGTTGTTCAGCCTTTTAGACCATTATGCAGTATACAATGCAGTCGTAGAGTGTTCTCACCGCAATTTTTTCAATAAAATTCGAGACCTACATATTGTCAGTTTCTAAATTGAAAATTGTAGTTTGAACTCTTAGGTTAGAGACTGGATACGTGATTATTTAACTAAACTGCTCGCCAAAAAAAACGGGACAAGCAATTTTTAGAACAAAATTCAAATTGTAATAACTTTTTTTTCAATTATTTTTTTCTATTGCGGTTTTTGGTATTCGAAAGCCCACGTTGTATATCACGTCGAAAAAAAATAAAAAAAACATTTTTTTGAAGGAATGCTTTTCAAGTTATACAGGGTGAATATAGAGTGATGCAAACGTACGAAAAGTTAACAGGTATTACCATTTGATTTTGAAATTGCTTGTCCCGTTTTTTTTTGGCGAGCAGTTTATGTTATAGGTATCAGCTTCTGAAAAAAATTTTTTTTTTCAAGTTGAACTTCGGGAGAATTTTAACGTCTACTACATCCAATAATCCGGGGCTAACTACGTATCGCGGGAATTACAGATCAATGACCCCATACATCCGCAATAGCACCGAATACCATTGAACCCATAAGTCAGCAGCGACAACTTGATATACCAACCTAATTTCGATTAAATTCGCTTAGCTTAGCTAAGCAATATTTTATGTATAAATTGTAGACAATTAGACGATAGAATTAGTTCCAATTTACATTGTGTTCTCGTAATAAATATTAAATTTTATTAAAGGGCTTTTTAAAAACACCCTTTTCCAGGGAAAACCCTTAATTGGCGCAGTCTGTAGTATAGTGGAAGAGTCCTTAAGGATCCTCGTCGTTCGTGAACGTTATCCACTAGTGAACCGTATCGTGAAGGAAACTTTAAAGTTCTCCAACAAAGTTTAGTAATAAACTGAATTTTAGTGATTTAGTGATTTTAGTGTTAGCATGCACCATTGCATTATATTATTACTGTAAGCATAATATATGTCTACTGACGATTTACTACGACAACTCTAAGTTCTAACTCTTACCGACTCAAACAACCTGCCTCTACTTCCCCCTGAAGAAAACTTCGAAGAAAATCTTGAAGAAAACATGCCTGCCAATCCTCCAAATTTTGACATAAAGAACCTGGCTCTTGTTCCGGAATATAACGGAAATCCAAACGAACTCTTCGAGTTCATCAACTCCACAACGCTACTCCTAAATTACTACTGGAACAAAAATGATGTAGGATGTTTCCAAAACCACATGCTCACCCAGGGCATCAAAAGTAAACTAACCGGCCGAGCAAAGGAAACTGTTTCAACTATGGATGCCTCCGATTGGGAATCAATTAAAGAAGTCCTGATACAAAACTTCGCCGATCAACGTAATGAGAATTCCCTTACAAGAGACCTCGTTAACTTACGTCAAATGCCAAACGATGCTCCTCAACAATTCTATGAAAAAGTCATGGGACTTCTGAATACTATTTCCAACTATATAGAACTCCACCATAATAATCCAGATGTCAAAATAAGCAAAAAGCAATTCTTCCATCTCAACAGGCGCTCACTACATTCATGGCAGGACTGAGAGAACCATTAGGATCAACTATTCGAGCTATGCGACCCAAAGACCTGGCCGCAGCAATTCAATTTATCCAGGAAG